AGGGACAGGAGGTGAATCCAGAAAGCCCCGGTTCGCCTCTTCGCCGCAAGTACAAGCACCGGGGGCGCTGGAGTCACCCGTCCAGAATGGGGCCGCCAAGCTCCGCTTAAATACGTGAGGAGGGCAGAGAAACCTATAAGCAGCGTATGTGCTGTATACTTCTCCTTGTATCTATACCGATCCTGAGTTTTCGGTATTTATGTTGTGCATGTGTTAAGGACGGAGAAACCATAGCTGATGTGTATGCAGGTTACTCTATCTATTTATCTATCTATCTTTATTTATTTAAACAGTGCTTCAGATTTTAAAGGCGCTCCCTCTTCCTACCTCCTTTTCCTTCTCTTCTCCAGCCCTTGGTTTTGAGTCGTCCTTTTGCCCACAAACACTCTTCGGATTTGGCCCGCGTGGTTCCTGCATCCCCATGCGTTGCTCTCGCCGTCTGCTTGTGGCAAGTTCCCTGCTCATTTGCCTACTGTGTTTTCCAAAAGCTCACAGCCACCTGACTTTGTTCTTTAAAGCAGTGAGCAGACCAGGAGCAGCCCTAAGAGCAGAGCAGCCATCTCCCTCCCTCCGACACACAACACACCCACGCACAAAGAGAGCTCGGGCTGGAAAGTGGCAAGGGAAACAAACAGCTTCCCCTCCAGCCGCTTCTTCTGCAGCACCTCGTTTGACAAATACCCTGGTGCTTGCCCTTGAATTGGGTTTCACATCCCTATTTAGCACTTGGACAATGATTTTAGATGATGTCACTTAAAGCCAAACAAGAAAATTGATCTCGGATTTGCTTGGCCTCTAAAGCCTGGTTAAGCAGATTGCAAATAATAATAATAAATAAAAAAAAAAAAAGAGAGAGAGAGAGAGGCAAAGGGGAGAAAGGAAAGGAGGGAGAGACACCTCCTTCCCTGGGCGGGGGAGGCGCGGGCGCCAATGAAAAGTAGCCGCTTACTGGGGGGGAAAAAACTTTTCCTGTTGACTGTAGGAAGCGAATTGAGCAATTATCTAGTTTACCTTCTCCTCTTGGAAGTTAACGATTGGCGAGATCTTGGCTGCGTTATTGACACAACACTTTCTATTGATAGAAATAAGTAGCGATTGTCCCGAGTCATTGGTGCGCCAAAGTAAACTGTGATGGGCTGGCATGAGTCCACTGGACTGAGAAGGCTGGTTCTGCCGGCGGAGGCTGTGGTGGTGATGGTGGCGGCGGCGATGCTGGTCTCCCTCCTTGCAGATCAGTGACAAGAAAAGGGGCAGAGAGTGAAACAGAGAGAGAGAGGAGACGAGAAAAGGAAAGGAAAAAAAAAAAAAAGAGGCGTCTACCAAAGCGGCTCAAACCGGGCGAACAAATGCAATCCAGCCATGGACAATAGTGGCCACCACACGGCGACCAAAATCCTAGCGACTCCTCCGGCCAGAGAAAGCCTGTCTGCCAGGAGCAACATGATCAGCACGCCCAAGCCCCTCGCCTTCTCCATTGAGCGCATCATGGCGCGGACGCCAGAGCCCCGCTCCATCCCCGTCCCGCAGCTCCTCCACGGCTCCGTGGCCAAAGGCGACCCCAAGCACCCGCTGCACCTCAACTCCTCCATCCCCTGCATGATCCCTTTTGTCCCGGTGGCGTACGACCCCCTGCCCAAAGCGGCAGTGGCCGGAGCGGAACCCAGGAAGGCTCATTTAGACTCCTCTTCCTCGCCCTCCTTTAGCTGCGGCGATCTCTTGAACTGTGCCCTGAGCTTGAAAGGAGATTTCCCCCGCGATGCCCTGCCCTTGCAGCAGTACAAACTGGTAAGACCCCGAGTGGTCAATCACTCCTCCTTCCACGCCATGGGAGCCCTGTGCTATTTCAACCGAGGCGACAGCCCTTGTCACCCGTCCTCCAGTGTCAACATCCACCCGGTGGCTTCTTATTTCCTCAGCTCTCCCTTGCACCCGCAGCCCAAGGCTTACCTGGCGGAGCGGAACAAGCTGGTGCTGCCGGCCGTGGACAAGTACCCGGCGGGGGTCGCCTTCAAGGACTTATCGCAGGCTCAGCTCCAGCATTACATGAAAGAAAGCGCTCAGATCCTCTCGGAAAAAATCGCTTACAAGACCTCGGAGTTCAGCCGCGGCTCCCCGAGCAGCAAGACCCAAGTTTTCACTTGTTAAAGGCAAGTAGAGTCGCAGCCCGTCTCCCTTCCCCCTGCTCCCCCAGCCTCCTACCCCCGTTCGTCTGTCCGCCGGGTTGTCGGTCGCTTGCTTGCTTGATTTTAAAACGACGGCCTCCTCTTGGCGCTCTCGCCTTCTAATAGCAATTTTTTTATATTATTTTTTGTCCGATTTCACTCCTAAGGTATTTAATGCACATTATAACTTAACTCGCCATATGCCGGTGCACACGGGAGCCAGACCCTTTGTTTGCAAAGTTTGCGGGAAGGGCTTCAGACAAGCGAGTACGCTCTGCCGGCACAAGATCATCCACACCCAGGTGAGCCTCTATCCCTTCTCTCTCTCCCTCCTTCCCTAAGACGCCTCCGCTCACGTTTTTTTTTTAGGGGGGAGCCCGAGTTTGTTCGGCCGCCCCAAGGCAGCGGCGCGGGGGGCGGGGGGCGGGGGGAGCCGCGGGGGGATTTCGTTTTCTCCAAGTGCGGTGGGGGTACCGGGGGGTTCCCCGAACTGGGAGCGGGGCGAGGCGACGGTGAACGGTCAGCTCACGCAACAAACCCTGGAAAACTATCGCACAAACCCTGTAAAACCAGCGCACAAACCCAGAAAAATCATCCAACAAGCCGTGACTTGACATTTGTTTCCCTCCAGGAAAAGCCACACAAGTGCAACCAGTGCGGCAAAGCCTTTAACCGCAGCTCGACCCTGAACACGCACACGCGAATACACGCCGGCTACAAACCTTTTGTCTGTGAATTTTGTGGCAAAGGATTTCACCAGAAAGGTATCGGTCTCCAGCCCCATCTCCTTTGCCCGCGCTCCCCCCAGGGTGAGGTCAAGCGTGGGGATAGTTTGCGAAGGGAGTGGTGGTGGGGAAGAATTAGGTTTGGGCTTAGTTTCTGCTCCCAGAGGTTTAGGTTAATTTTAAGTATCCCTAGTCCCTGCACATTCCCTCTGGCGCGGCCCATGGAGTAGGACAGGGCTTTCGCTTTCGGGGGATCGCGGGGGCAGCTTTTCCGCAGGCTGCGCCCCCTTTTCCGTGCACTTGCAGCGCAGATCGGCGAAGGAGTTCGCCTTTTTTCCCCTCTGAGTGGAGAGGCTTGCTTAGTTTCTCTCCCCCGAGAAGCCTAAAACCAGGGAGTTCATTTCCGCAGTCGGTGTGATTTGGGGTTTTTTGATAATTCCTTTTCGTCTGTCAAAGGAACAGCCGCGGGGAGCATGGGGAGAAGGCGAGCGTTTGCTACTCGATCGGCGGTCGTTTTCTGCTAAAGCCGAGCTCTGGGGACGGGACAGGATTTGGGAATTTTTTTTTTTTTTTCTTCTCCTCTTTGGAGAGTCCTGTTCTCAGCCCCGGGTCCCTTTGCCCTTCTCGTCTCGTTCCCAGGCAATTACAAAAACCACAAGCTGACTCACAGCGGGGAGAAGCAGTTCAAGTGCAATATCTGCAA